ACAGTTTACATGTATGTAATTGCAGGTATCGTTATACATATACTTATTTGCCTGGTTCTGATCTAGTAGAATATAATTAGAAAAAAATGTTTAATCCAAAAAATTATTTTCTATCCAATTTCACCCAAATATATTTTCATACTTTTAATGTATTTCCTTGGCTATTCTTCTTATTTTTAAACACTTAAATGCACTTAAGCTATAATACCGTTATGGTAGCCTACTGGCACCTCATACCTTTTCAGAATGGCAAAATCTAACCTTCCAGACATTCTGAATTTTGAGGTAATGCTATTATTATGTCATCTTCAAAACACACAAGAATGTTTCAGATGACCTTTTAATTTGAATGGACATAACAATGGAAACATCAATGTGAAATGAGGAGAGAGCCCTCTAAGGGCTTTACACCTCTAGACAGTCCTACGCTTCCCCCTTGCTGCTCCTCTCCTCACTACATTCCCCTCAAGCACTGAGACTCTCATGCTGCTGCATTCCAGCTATGTAGTGTGATCATACTTCTGACCATCTCTGAATCCCCACTCCCGGGAGATACACACATACAATTCACCTAGAGCTTCCTCTTATTCTTTCACAGTAATATCACAGTTTTTCCTTGCCACCCTACAGCTGTAGAAAACCCAAAGAAGGGAAACAGTAGTGTGGCACTGAGGTGTGTCTGCAGAGCCAGGAAAATGAAATGGCTCAGAAGCCTCTACAAATGAAAATGGCTCATCAAAATGCTTTTGTGTACTGGAGCAAAATCACTTTGAAACTGCTGCAGGTCATGGTAGTTTGCATCCAGTGGAACTCATGGTAAAGCAAAAATCCCTTTTTATTCATGATGATATCTTGCAAGGAAACAGAAATTTGTAGTACAGCTAGGGGAATACGAAAAAGCTTCCAAAAGAAGAGGAAAATGAGAACAACATCCTGACTTCCCCACTACACTTCTACAGGATAATTCCCATTTCCCAAACTTATCATAGAATCACAGAATGGTCAGGGTTGGCAAGCACCTTAAAGATCATCGAGTTCCAACCCCCCTGCCATTCTCTGCTATTCTCCTACCATGGGCCCCTCCTCTGCAGCATCCAGCCCCATCCACTGATCTCTACAGAATTTTGTATACACCTACGTGTGCGTGTATGTTCCACAGAAGTATGTAACAGTACAATCCAATAGGTGACTCAACAGCTTACAAAGGTACCTCGTAGGGAAGTTGCAAGATAAGGCATGGAACCTACAAGGAGAAAGCGTAAGCTGACTGACTACAGTCATGGTACTACAGAAGTGGTCCCTGATGCATGAGTCACTTTTGTAAATAGGAGAATACCTTCACATTCCCTATTTGGCTTTTAACTATCCCAAAGAATGCTGGTAAATTGCTGAAATTTGATTCAGTATAATAAGAAAATTTTGTAAGGCATCTCTCAAATTTACTGAACACTGCTGGAAACTACATGAGTGCCCAGAAGGATATTTTTAGGAATGAGATTACATCTGTTTTCACCCAATTCTATAACCAAGGAACACTTTGGAGATTTAAGGGAAAAAAAGTCAGCAGTTATGTAATTTGAGCCCAGATACAAAAAAAAGCAGTATCATTGAGCCATATTAGCCCAGTCCGAGTCCAGTAACTAGTGTTTGATAAACCATGGATTTGAAGAGACAGATATGGAAAATTCAATCATTCCCATTATAGGAATTTTCTAAAGATTAATTTTTCTATAGCCTACTCAGGATTTTCTATGAAAGAACTGCTTGCAAAATCCTCTTTTCCCAAAAGGCTAAGGAGAAAGACAAATGGGGAATTTCTGATAGAGCTAATGCGGTAAGACCTAAAAACATGAATTAGCATTCCCCACCACAACTATGAACACACAAACTGTCATATACAATTACAGGGAGGGAAGTGAGCTGGTCCCAAGTGTCCAAATGCTCCTATCATACTGAATCTATTTACCCAGTTACAATGAACCCTGATGGATGTCTAGAATCTCCTTGATCTGTCCTAGCTGTCAGCATCTTTTACAAAATCCTGCTGGATTTACAAGTAAAAAAAAAAATACATATGCAGTACAAGCAGTTATAACTGATGCTCTTCATCTTTACGAAGACATTTGAGAAACAGCAATGACGAACAATGATTTTATGAACTCTTCAGTTTAATAGTTTTTAACCTTTTTTGAATGGCATAAACAAAAGTGGAAATAATTATATTGACATATTTGTACACACACACACACATATATATATATATATATAAAGTTTCCCAACTTAAATGCACCAAGTGAGGGGAAAAGAAGACTGTCCACAGCCATAACTTAGGAAATATGAAGATGATCAAAGAACATACGAACTTTTATCAAGTTCACTCAGTCACATGGATGATATTTTCTATTTGGAAAGTCAAATCTCAGACTGCTTTCCTATGATAATAAACAAACTGCAACCTTTAAGGAAATATTCTCTTTACTAATCTCTAAGATATGAACAGTGAGTATCTGATCCAACTTACCCCCCACACTAGACCTGAAAGAAGCTGACAGCTGGAGTTCCATTCAGCCTCTTTTTATGAAGAGTAAGAAAAAGGCAAGCAGAGATGTCAAACAAAATCAGACATTAGTAACTAGAACCCTCTGAGGTACGTTGGTCATGTGTCAATTCATACTTGGCCTCCAGAGTACAATGGATCTCAATCTACTAGTTACACTTTTCCTTCATGGCATACTTCAAAAGGGTAGAGTAAGCCCTAACATGGTATCAACATCTTCACTGTGAATGGAGATTTTAAGCACTATTTCAGAAAGAAAGTCATGCAGACCACACATCTTAAGAAAAAAAAAAAATCCTTTCTTTGATTAATGTCTCAGATGTCTGACCATAATCTAGGGTAATTCAAGTAACATCTCCCACATGCCTCCTCTCAAATGGGCCCTATAATTCTTTGAGAACTGCATTCTCAATACAGCTCAACTGCATGCAGTCTTGTTCTGAATGCTTCAGTAATCATGAAGGAATGAGTGCAGCCCTAGGTTTGAAGTCTAAAAGTGACAGTCATGGAGAAATTTCTAAGAGGCAGTGTATGTTGCTCTGGGCAAATCTCTGTGCAATGACTCAAAATCCCATCAGTCAAGCACCTCAGTACATGTTTCAAGAAAGTAAGTTATCTACCTGGACAAGTGGTAATGAAGAAAGCTGTTATTTCCAATGCAGAAAGAGCAGGAACCATTCAAAATGCTTAGTTCTCATATTCTAAAAGGAAAAGAGATTTCTGATTTTTTCAGATTATGAAGACATTCTTTTATTTTTTAAAAGCCTGAATCCCATAAAGAGAGGACTGAAAAACTGCTGCTTTTGCATTAAGTCTGGATATATTTTTTGGCAAGGAAAAGGACAAGTGCTTGTGTCCTGGGATATATTCTACCAGAGAAACATTTGTTCTGCTATTAGGAACAACATCACAACCTATCTTCCTGGCAGAATAAATAGTGACCAAGAATGCTTTGAACAAAAAAGTGTCCAGATGCTCAAAAGAACAATTCATGGACAAATAAAAGCACAAGTTTTATTTCTCACTAAGGTGAGGGATGCCTATGCAAGGAGCAAGAAAATGTAAGAATTTGACCCATCTGTTACAACACTGAACAGCTAAGCAGAGGATAGGTCAAATGTGCATCAACAGAAATATTTGACAATTCTGACACAAAACCAAAGCAAATATTCCAGAACCAATGCTGACCTTAGTCTTCTTTCTAAAAGAAAGTCTCAGAGAGAACACTTCTAGAAAATGAATCCTGGAACAGAGTAATCTACAGATTCAACATGTGAACAGGATGTACACCTTCTCAAGACAGCTATAGTCACTGACAATGTGGGCTGGCTGCAGGGATTTGACCATGAACCAGAAACAAACAAATCAGTTGGCCTATTACTGACAGAGTTCCTGGGTCACTGGAAGTATAAGATGTTGATGCAGGTGGCGGGTGAGGGGAATGTGAAAGCTAATGTTTCAAAGACTTGGGGAGGACAGGATAAAAGAAACATGAGAGAATATTAGAAATAAATAGTGAAGAAAAGTGAGCTGCAGTCAGCTATTTCACAATTTCAGATTAAGACAGCAGTCCTGCCCAATGTCCAGTCCTGATAAACACCTACACTTAGCCCTTGTCGGTACTGTTAAAGGAAAGGTTTAAACAGACAAGCCACTGCAAGGATGATTTAGGGATGGACCATCCAATTTAGCAAAATTGGAGAAAGCTGTTATCATCACAGTTCATAATAAGACACCAAAAAAGTCTTATTATGTCTATAAACAATAATATACAGGTTTACAGACTCAAGGTAAGCATATAATTTTAGACTACTGAATTTTTAAAGTCACAAATAGACACAGGTATTTGAAATGTGCTGTAGAAATACAAGAGGACAAATATGTGTATTGTGGTGTAGTAGTATTATTTGGCTTCTGCACAACACACAACAATTGTTAATCAGCATCTGGACCAGAACAAATTCCTGGATAAACAGAAATACCAGTTCAGTATGAAACAGAGGAATAAAAACCTGATGGTCTCCTTAGGTTATCTGAATCAACACAACAGAGAAGGAATTAGTCTTTTATCCTCCTACGACTACAGAAAACGAAACCACCTCATTAAAGGGTGAAGACAATTGTAAAATACAGAAGTAAGAACGTGGTATTTCTCCTAAATTCTGGTTACTGGCTTAATATTCATGTTATGACAGTGCTAACATTTACTGAAGAAATTGAAATTCTGAATATGATCAGGCAAGAAACATATCAAGCCATGGCACCAAGACTTGCATGTATTCCTATCTGGTCACGTGCAATTATGTTTAAAGGTATGTTCAACACAGCATTATTTGTTTCTCCTCTCCTCAAAAGAGAGCTTAGATGGGGTGGGAGGACATTGTAGATTATCTTTGACTTTCAAATTGCAGAAGTGAACCTGAACGTATAAGGCAACCCTTACCTTCTGGACGGTACTGAGCTACAATAGTTACGGCTTGGCCTGCGTTCTTGAGGGCTGCTGCTGCCTGTTCATGGGTTGCTGCTTTTAGATCTACTCCATTTACCTACAAGTAACACAAAAAAAGCTCTTTATCAAAATAAATGTTTGTGTTTATCATCACAGAACACAGACTTGTGAAACAAAAATTAACTGGACACAAACTAGTTTCCCATGTCATGTGAATTTTCCCTGTTTCCAATATTACAAGCCAGTTAATACTAACAAAGATTACTGATCCCTACTGAAATCCAAAGTCAATAAATTCTTGCATAAACCCTCTGTTAAGAAATACTGTAATCATTACAGTATATCACTTAATGAATTTGTATTCGATAGGTCTATTTTCTTTTTTTTTTTTTAAGATCTTTTTCTTTCTTTTTAAGGAGACACGGACAATGTTCCTTTCTGTGATAGTTCACCTCACCTTTCAGCAACAGGGCTTCAAGGATCTCCATAGACACAGCATGCCTATAGACCATCACTTTTAACACCCAGTGACAGACCACACCCTCCATGGGTCTAGCCTTGTTTTCAATGCAGCAGATTTAAAAATAGTGTCAGAAAAAAACTGAAGCAGAAATGTGTGTGTCACATTTTAGACCAAAGCTTTTTTCATACTTCAAACTAAAATAAAGATGCACTTTAATATGAGCATTTTAGTGACAGCAGAGCCAAAACTTAAGAGGAAAACATTCCGCTTAAAGAACTATCAAATTACAATGTAATTGTCCAAATAAATGATTCTTCATAAATTATTTCACAAAGAAACATACAAAATCTTCATGACCTTCAGTACTCATATAGAAAAAGCCCTTCGATAGGGGGGAAGACTACTGGGAAGTTTATCAGTTACTCCAGGAAATAAAGTACCCAATTTTAGACACTACTGCCAAGTGTCTCCATCTCATTAGAAGGCTTATTTCTGAAGCCTGCATTCTTTCAATTTAGACACACACAGCCCTCAGCTACCAGATGAAGTTAATGACTTCAATGAATGTTGTCACTGAATACCTCTGAGACAGGAAAGTGCTATTTTAATCAGGTTACAGATGAGAAACTGAGGAAGACTAAAGTCCTCAAAGATGCTTTGGAATTATATTGGCATCTGCTCCATTGTCTCAAATTTAGCTCAGTTAATGATATTTTTTGCATATAAATCATTAACTAGCATTAATATGCAGGGAGGGGGAAATTGTTGTTGTTTTTTAAATAAAAGAAGCAAGGAATCCTACAGAAATTATACGATCTCCTTTCCTAAGCTCTCCACTCAGGTCAGCTGGCCCTCCTGCAAGGATGAAAGAGATGAAAATTCCTTCTCCATCTTCTCCTCCAACAATGTTGAAACCAAGACCTGTTGATCCTCGATGCAGGATGACCTTTCGAGGCTCCCTGAATGAAAGAAAGGGATAAGAAATCTTGGTCACTAGACATGAGTAAAATAAGCAATTAAAAAAGCTAAGTTTTCTAAGAGAAACAGTTTTGAAAATTTAGGTATCAAAAGTTACACATTTCTTAAGGCAACAATCTCATGTATCCCACCTCGCACATCCCCTGGTCCTCCTCCTCAAATCTTAGGCTTTCAAATAATAGCTTCTCTTGTTTGTATGCTTTCAATTCCTCTTCTAGATGCAACACAAAATCCCCTCCCTGTTGTTAGGTGAACTGAACAATTCTTTAGTATGTATGTATTCTAAATTCGTGTTATGCTACAGTCCTATTCAGCACTAAATGTCATCACTTGACACTTTCCATATTGTTCAAGAACCTCAATATGGCTCACAGTCTTATTCTATCTAATGGTAATAGCAAGCAACAAAATACTACTTTCCCCTTCTGAAACTTAAAGAACAAATTCTAATGGAAACATCAATAATGAAAAATATGTCCTTACTGCTTTAATTTCACCTCAGCTGGTCAAGCAATAAATATAGGAAAGAACAATTGAAGAAGTATGCATAAGCCCTTTTAAAAAAAAATCAGAATTTATGGTATTCTCAAATACATTTGCAACTTCTTTGCAGCAACTGCAATTGAAAATGTTTAATTTAAACCTAGTTGCTGCATTCTTTTTACAGGATCCCCTTCTGACTTGGAGGAGAAGAAAGAAGAAATACTGATCAAGTTAAGACAAGGCCAGTCAATTCATAATGCAGAAACACTCCTTCCAAAAATCTACGAATCTGCTACCTGACAAGAAAAGCATAACTGATTTCAGATACAGACATTTCTAATAAAGCAGAGCAACTGTGCACTGCATTTGAAAAATCACTAGAGAGCACTAAAGAACAATTAGTGGACATTCTTAAGTATTTGGAGACATTAATTATTAATTTATAGGATAAACTAAGCTGCATTTTCCTAAAACAAACAAAAAATATAATCTAGTCCAATCTTTAAAAATCGCTCATCTTTTGCACTAGCTCTTAAATCAACTTAGTGTCAAATTACTAGATTTCACCCCCATCAACTATTTTTCATAGTACTATTTTATTACAAACAAATGACATTGTGAAAACCTATGTATATTACTCTGGATCACACTAATACCTAAACAAAAATGCTGCAGTTAGAGAAGAACATAAATATGTAGTATACTTTACAGGATGACTCAAAATTTCTAAACCTCTTTTTGGGATGGAGGAAGTGGAAGATGGGAAGGGAATTTAAAGAAAAATCACCATAAGCCTTCTCCAAATAGCCCTTGCATTTCAGAAGAAATCCAAACACTTCCTTTTACAGTAATTTTAAAGGAAAGCTATAAAACTGTAAGTTCAGCAATGCTATCAGCAGGACAAAATAACTTTGGCTTATATGTCCACCTAACCCCAACTTTAGAATAACTACAAATATAGCCTACCTTCCAATACACTAAAATTAATTCTCCAACTTATTATACCACTTAATTTTCAATCCTGGGTGGACCCTGCCTTAGAATCTCAGTGACATTATCCACATCAGATGATGGTGGGATACAGAATTCAGCAGCAACATACTGAAAATGCAGTATAGCATCCCTATACTTCCAGAACAGAAAGGTAACAAAATAAGAAGAGCTTCCCTTTACCAGCAATGATGAACAGAAGATTAATGTTATCTACTGAATCAGTGAAGGAATGAATGGTTTGTTAATGAGAAAGGATTAAGAGCTCTCTAGCCTTTCTGGATTTACAAATCCATCAAAACAAAGCCTTGTCTGTAAAAAACAAAAGAAAAAATAAAAGAAAAAACATTGCTGGCTTTAAAATAAGGAATAATCTCTAGTCTGCTTATACTACCATCCTAAAAAGCTCAGTCAACTCATGGAGCACTTTGGCTAATAAAACATGTGTATACATGTGTGTGTTTGTATATAAATATATCTAGTTTACTCCTTCAACAATGTTTACAAGTGTTAAGAAACTAACGTTTATTTCTTGAAATAAAATATAGTATTCACTAGTATTTTGCCCACAAACACACCTTATAAGCTGGTTAACTAATTTGACATGAAGCTTTGGTTATCCATTACCTGGTAATCTCATCATCCCCAAGCATTCCCTTGGGAATTGGTGAATATCGCCCTGGTGATGCTGGGGGCAGGGACTGTCCCAAGTAGGCAGATGGAGTGATATGGTTATCCACCGGCTGAGAATAAGCTTCAAAGAGGGGGGGAAAAAAAAGCATTAAGGCAAAAAGGAAAAAGAGCTGGAGGAACTGAAACAAAGTATTATAAGGAGTGACCTCTTCTAAAACCAAAATATAACAGTTCAAATGATACATTATAAATATCACCGTTCTAAAATATTCTGTCACATCAACACATTCCCCAGTCTCCTCACATTTTAAGTCAGTAAGCAAATCTTTCAGTTTGATTGTGCCTCAAAAAAAACCTGTTTTAGAAACAGACACTGGGGAGAGCTGAAGCCCATGAGGACAGTCTGAAGATTTATCTGTTTTTTAAATTTGTCTTTAACTTGACTGAAGTCAACTAAGAATTTTAGTTTCTTAAAATCACTATGTCACAGTACCAGTGAAAAAGACATTAACATTACACTTCTTCCAAATCGTCAAGCTGCCTGCCTCTTTCTTTTCAATGCTCCGATGTGGAGCACCCTGCACCTCCAGAACACTCCAGGCCACTCCGATACCAGGCCTGAACAGGGAGGGGTGTCACATGTCATGGACACTGAACAAAACCATCTTTAATAGCACAGGTGCTGGCAGTGATGCTAGTATGTGCTGAGCCAACACCATACATCAGAAAACAGAAGTAGGATTATTCCACCTCCTATTCTTCAAGGTAAGTGGAATCAATTTATTGAGAGGAATACACAAGCTAGTGCAAAAAAATTCAACTGCAGTGCAAGGGTCAGTTGCCTTATTCGCAGGTTCACTGCTTAAAACTAGAAAAGAGCATTAAAAGGATTTAGTCTAACCTTTTGCATAACAGGCCATGAATCCTGTGCATGAAGGGCATATATTTTACCTCAACCACAACACACATACTAGAAAAATTTAGCATCTTAACGATTACAATTGATGGAAAATATTCTAAAATTCCAGGAGAGTTGTTCCAATAAATCATTAAGAGGGTGCACTATATTTCCAAGTTAGGCACATCAATTTTAAGTGTCCATTCACCAGGCGCAGTCTTACCCACTGTCTCCTATTAAAAATTATATTCTGCAATTCAGATTTTTTTCCTGGTGTAGGTGCTTCAAGCTTTGAGGCTTAAACAGGGAGGGGGGGCACTTCACAGATTCAACATCACTGAAGTTGCCAGACTCTTTGCTCTTATTCACTTGCTGTATCTGATGTGCCTGACATTTGAGAATTTACAGTAAACCCAAAGCTTTTAAACTGAATAGACATTGACAGAGATCTCAGAAGCGACCTGTGTACTCTCCTTTTTTGTTTTTCTTGTTAAACCACTGGCAGAACCCTTGGATCATATATAAACTTCATCAAGAGTATTTTTATATGATAGATTTGTCACAGCATTAGAGTTCTTTCAGTTTTCTAGAATGTGTTTCAGCAAGGATTAAAATCCACTATTAACACCTTAGGCAGTTTAAAAGTACTAGCTTTTAAGTAATTAAGCATGTTTTTCAAACACATTGGCCCTCAGCGAATTGCATGCTCTAGTCTGGGACTGTGCAGAACTTTTGGAAATTGCAACTCCGGATTCACAAGTGGTTTCAGCAACATTCAGAAGCTGAGTGCCAGTGGTAGCCTGTCCCCTTCTACAACAGCCATAAGGAAGCTTCCTCAAGTTAGTGTTCTCTTTGCTGTAGACGTCATGAAGCTGCTTTTGCTAAAAACAAATGATCAACAAAGGTGTTCATATTTGAGAATTCTCTAATAATTAGGGGTTGTTCGAGACGCATGACTCCACAGACCTTTTTTTAGAACAGCTGTAAGACACGTACATTGCACCTTCACCCCTCTGCTCCCTGCAAGGATTCGAAGACCATACATCCCACTGCTTAGTTCCCTCTGCCCTGGCAGTAGTAGCTTGTATGCAGGGGTAACAGATTTGGACAGTGAATTGACAGACTGTCAATTTCAAAGCTTGGTTTTTAGCCACACTGGAGTTTTGGCAACAGATTTTCACAATAATTACCAAACCACATGGCGATATTTACTTTTCAATGGAAAAAAACATATGTATTGTAATACAACAGTATATTTCCCTGCCACTGCACATAACTTTTTGTTTACGGTGATACTTTTAAAAATGGGTACTGTATATATAGATATTTTATTTTTTCCCTCAAAATTTTACAGGTAAAGCACAAAAAAATGGAACGCAGACTTTATGAGCTCTTTTCCAACTAGTGGAAAGTGGGTTTTGATTAAAAAAAACCTGAACAACTGTAGCACAGCATAGCAGCTCTGTACATTCTGTTCATGCATTAAATCTTCTAATTTCACGAAATGAAGTTAAAACTACATTTAACAAGTCAGTGGCAGCTATAACAGCACATACTTTATAGGAAGTAATTAGATTTTTCATAATAAATTCTGTGTTCATGGACTTACAGTACTTTTCATTTGATTGTTTTTAAGGTTCCTAAAGCTTTTAACTACATCATGTTCAGAAACATCCATACCATCTAATACTGTCATATATTCTTATTTTTTTTAATTTGTATGTTTTCACCACGTAACTAAAAGTCGGCTATCAAGCAATGTAACAGCTTATTACTTCACACCGGTGGACTGCTCCACATCAGCACTACCTACATCATTTATAAAGTTCTCCATACACTACTTGCTTAGAAAAGTCAGGTCCTTCCTTAAAGCTAGTATTCTCAGTGCTCTGGAAGCAAATTCACAAGGCATAAAAAGGCTCTCTATGGAGTTCCAGCAAAAAAGAATGTGCCTGCACCTTTCCTAAAACTGTTTTAGCTGGAGATTATACCTGAAGAATATTCAGGAGAAACATGATGGAAATAAAAGGCAAGACATCATTTTCTGAATTCTAAATCCGTTCTAAACGTCTTTTTCCAAGTAAATATTATTACTGATGTAACTGATAAAGGAACTGTGTTTTGGATGAACCGAAAATGACACGCATAAAATGAACTTGCTTTGACAGGAAAAGTCAAAGACTCTTAAGGAGAAATTCCATTTCCAAATCCAGCCCTGCCTTGACCTAACACAGTTCTACACAAAAAGAAAATTTAAGATCTCCTACTATTTCCCTCTTATCTGAAAAATGAGGACGTTAATCACAAGTACAATCTCCAAAATAAGAAATAAAATTAACATTGTACTGTCATTTACTGTTACAGCATGTTCCCCTCTTCCTGTATTTATGCCATTTAAGGAATGACAAGGCACTTATGTCTCTAGTGAGGAAACTGATTATTCCCTCCAGTATTTTATGTCTCAGCGCAGGGAGGAAATACTGTACCAATGCACACACACACAACAGAAAAATAGTTTAACATTGACTAGGAGTCAAAAATGCACCATTAATAATGTCTCCAAAGGAGGTCTGTCTAGGAAGCTAGTTCTGTCTCTCAAAAACTGCATAGATGCTTTTTTTGACTCTGATATTCTACACTGTACAGGTAACGGGTTTTTTTTAAATAGCAAGTTCTAGGCCTTCTTAGCACTATTTAAACTGAATAACTGTAAAAGCACTTATACCAACAAGTTACTGAAAATTTGTTCCTGGGAACCATTTAATGACCAACATTTCTACATAGATTACCAAGGCAGTTTACATTCCCTACAGACACATGACCTACTACAGAAGACTAATAGCTATGATTACCAAACACACAAATCAGTTTAGCTGCCAATGGTGCTAGCCAGCTGGGTGGCATCAGTCCACAGGACTATCCCACCTACAGTGCTGCTGTTCCTCTGCATTTAACAACCGCATGTTTCCTATACTGGAAGTTCTCGTCTTTCAGTGTCTCAGAGACTGGATGCCACACAGGAGAACAGTACTCAGGTGGCAATGTGCTCAGAAAGAACACTCTTTGATAACTGCATTCTTCTTCAGACAGAAAATGGAGATCACAGTAAAGTGTTTAAACTAGCAATCCACACCTTAAGGGTTAAAAGATAAATATCGCTGAAGCAACAGAAACAGGCAGAGCAATCAACTGTTCCAGACTGTCCAGGGCTGTGGCCAAGCTTTCGTCATCCATACATATACCAGTCTCCAGAGCTACAGTACACAACCATGAGCTATTTTTTCCACATTAATTCCCTGCTAAATGCTCTGGTCTCAGCCAGCCCAAACTCTTCTTTAACAAGATTTTCAACATTAACTTCCCCCATGGGCAGCCGTAAGCCATTCACTTGCTCTGATAAATATCAAGTGACGGAGGTCAATTTTCAGCCTCAGGTACACAATGTTGGCAGGATCTGTACACTTCTCCATAAACACCGTCATAAATCAGAATTTCAGGAACTTATTGATCAAATGTCCCTCAATTCAAAGACACTAACCCCAAAGAAATATCAAACATAAAATTATTTAATTATCTATACAGATGATAACTTACTTTGTCTCATTCTTCTGTGCCATCAGACCACCTGACAAGACCGTACTATTGTGTGGCTCGTACTCTTACTATAGGAGTTCTAAAATAAAACAGATTTTGCAGAAAACCTAGATACTGAAATTTGTGAACCCAGTTTTCAAACAGTTCTTCAGTATCCTTAGCTCTGCATTTTAAATCCTCATCACCAGGGAAAGGGAGGAAGCCCTATAACTAAACAGGAGCAGTTCCAGAAAGAAAGTCTTAAAGACAACCAAATTCTGAATTTGGTGTTTTGTGGACTTTTGAATGAACCACCATGTTCACAAAAGGTAGCATAGTGAGCAATCTACTGCATGTTCTACAGACAGTACAGATACCAAGCAAGTAACTACTGTGCACCGCGCTCCTGATAAAATGTTTTAAAAAACCCCACACAAACAAAAAAAAAGATCCCCAAAGGGAGTTCTAGGCAGTGAGTCATCTACACGTATAGTCAGGTAGCAGACAAGGTTTCTATATTAAAATCATTTGTAATGGACACATCCATAGGCAGCCTCTGTGCAGATTTAAGAGATTCAGTAGTGAAAGGAATAGTAAATCTTCCATCTCTTTTATGATGGGCCTGAAATCCTAAGAACCTGGGTAAAAAGATTCTGCTGGACACAAATACAAAGGAGAACTGCAAATATATGTCTCAAAACAGCCTTTGGATCTATTTTGTGTGCAAAATTCAGGCAGTAGACCCAGAGTCCCCATGCCAGCTGCAGTAACAGCTGCACTTTGATCAACAAAGAGAGAATCATACGAAGCCTTGGGTAGGAAAGAGTTTCCTGTTGCAAGGAAAAGAAACAGACTGAAGTTTTATCAAAGGACCCAGCACTTTGCAGAAGAATGTTCTTTGCTTAAAAGCTGATGAAAGTCTACCAGAAACAACATTAAAAACACAGAGCAACTTCAGACAGAGAACTGAAGGTTTAAACTGCAGCTAAATGAAACAAAGCCCAGAAAATGTACTCCGAAGTACAGACAGCACTTCAGCCCACAAACCTTGTCAAAGGTCCCTGAAGGACAGAAGACAGATAGACACCTGGAATCTGAAAAATCTTGTGTGATTTTTTCAAAATGCTTCAGCAGACCCAAAAGCCACTGTTGGAGCTTGAGGGGCATGACAGATCAGGAGATTGGCTTTTCACTTCTCAGTGGACAGAAGCGCCACTTCACAAAGGACAGGATATATGGCTCTATGTTATGATGCAATTAACTTCAATTAATGGAGTCTCCAGCTTATCCACCGCTTGAGAGAAATTAATTCGCCGCATGAGAAGAGGGCCTGCAGCATGCTCCTATGAATACTGCTAGAGCAAATATTCCTTTAAAAGTACATATTGACACAGATAATGTGAATTTAAAACCAAAATAATCACACAAAGAAGAACACCAATTTGTAGTCAAAGAGGAAATACAACTGCTGCTTCAAATAAGACTCTCATCAGTCTGATCTCAGCTACCTACTGAACTACGGTACCAAGAATCAGCCACGCTGAGTTTGGTATCTCTGTTCTTAACTTTTTGAGCCTACAGACAGTCTTCTTAAGATCAAAGTATCATTTAACAAACAGTATCAAAGCACATACAAATTTAAAATGAGAATCTACTTTTATATTCAACCATTCCTTTACGGTGGTCTAGTAAAGGAGTAGGTTTGTCAAATCCTACTACAGGTTCCTTCCTCCACCCACACAAACTGAACAGTTTCAGTTCAGTTTTCCTCCCAAAAGAGGCTCTCTGAGCTGCTATAATGCTTTGCTCATTTCCATTTAAGCCTTATTCCAAGCTGTTTTTTTAATAATCAGGGGCACTGAGCAAGCGTTAATAAGTACAACTTTTCCCAATATCAGGGTATCATTGAGGTATTAGAATTGGGCAAATCATCAGCAACCAGCTCCTTCTCTACCTTCCTCTCCCCAAACTTTCTTGAGGCTTTGCCTTTGCTCCCACAAAAGATTCATACAGTAAATATTCCAATGACTGAGTCAAGACATAGTAGTAATAGATAAGATACTTCTACGTTTGCCACATCACCATCCACGGCAGTGTAATTGCACTACTGCAACACTACCAGGAACACTACGTACAAACCAGGTTACCTCTGCTCCAGAAAATCTGAATTTGAGGTGAAACACGTGAAGAGGTCAGTTATGATGGAGAGAGAAAAAGAAGCCCATCTTCCAAGGAAACAATGAGAAAGGCTGAATTATTGGACAAACTAGATACCATAAGGGAAAATGTCCACTCTCAACCATATATATGAGTATAAAACTAGGGATGAATACGTGAAGGCTGAAAATTATTTTTATGTCAAAGAATGGAGCCCTCAAGAGCATCCTTTTAATAAGACTGTGAAGACATAAAACCTAATTAGCTCCAAATTGTAATTCAACAAGCTTACAAATAGATTTCCAGATACTGTAGCTATTGCCAATCAATAACGGACTTATAAGGTACTTCAGCCCTTTGTTGTGCTGTACTGTTGTTTGTTGTTCTTTACATACTGTTTTAGATTACATCAGTGGCTTTTCAGTCAAAGCTGTTTTTCATATGAAGTAGTATCTGAACATATCAGTGCTACATATCAATTACTCATACCTAACAGCAGAAAGAAAAAACCCTAAAATAACTCTCCCCCAGAACCATTTTAGGTGACGAGTAAAACTGGTCATCCAGAAAGTCCACCTATTCAGTCTCAGAAATATACAGTTATATCATTCTCATCGCCTTCTCCAAACACTAAATTGTAACATCCCTCTTGAAGAAACAGTATCTTATATTCAAATTTTTGCAAGTGATCAGAAACACTGAGTCACTAGGACTAGGCCACATCAGTCAGAAAACACACTAAGACCCTCGCTGCTGTCTCTTCAGTACAGAAGCTACAGGATGTTATTCTGTTCAGCATACAATTTTCCTGATTAATCATCTCTCTTATATCAGATTTTCACACTGTATATTTTAAAAAGTTTGAAACTGTTAAAATACTAAAAATGGGGTATGTTAAAGACTTGAAAGAAAAAATAATTAAATCACAAAGATAAGGTGAACTTACAGTTTGTGATGTCAGGAGGGGCATAACTGTCATTCATGAACATGCTGGTGGGTTTTGCAACTTTCAGATAAACAAAGTCAGATGTGTTTTTTAAGGCAGTCACTGCTTCTTCATGAGTAACTTCTTCTAAGCAAACACTGTTCACCTACAGAGAAAAATATTAACCAATTCTCAACACAGAAAAATCCACATTTTCATAGGACACTCACTGAAAGCTGCTGGAGCACTCCAGTATTGAGAGTCTTTATTAGGATTCATGAGCTACGGACATAAATGGTTACATAAAAGTTATATAAGAGATGCTTTATAGTGCTGTGAAGTATAAGAAAGACAAGTCTTTCCTCAAAATATTATAATAAATTATATTGACTGTAACACTGTAAGGAAGGCACGACTTTGGAACTCAAAATGCCATAGGCATGCATAATCCCAGCTCTCACACAGTATGTTATAGCAAGCATTAAGCAGAAGGTTTCTTCTAGAAAGAAAAATTCCCACAGGATCTTGTCATTACATAAGTTCTAGATATTATAATGGGACAACAAATTCTTCCAAGAGGTAAAAAGTAGTGGTCAAAACTGGAGAAGACCATGCCAAGTAAGAACAACTGGTTTAACTTTACAGGCAACAGACTTTTTTTAAACTATTGCTATTAAGGCAAAATACTAGCACTTCAGTTTAATAAAAAAATTAAAATCCTTTAACAATTAGTATCTCATATAAAGAGTTAGTAAATTGAGTTGCTGACCCTCTCCTCCATATTTTGAAGAGGGAAGTAACTTCTGCAGATAATTCCAGGCAACACTGGAAATAAGGATTGTATTGCACTGAGCCTGAAGGACCAAAACCACTTTCCTCTGTTTGATTACTTAACTTTATATACTGTGTAAAAACAATCAGGTCTTGTCAATTGTTATTTCTGGAGGAAAAACTCTACTGCTTAAGTATATTCTTTCCATAGGTATTTTCTAAAAGCCTCTTATTGATTTAAAAAAAAAAACAAAACAGATTTAAATTCCTATATTTGTATATTTATTCCTATGTATATTTATTGTGCAACTACTAGTAAACATAATATATTCTTTCTCTCTTTTTTCCTCCCAATTCTCATGTAAGGATTTGCCCATGTCTTGAGTTGATTTCACAGAACTATCCACTGTAAAACCAAGATCTCATTCCTAATACTTAAAAAAGCAGGATTCTTTAGATAAGATTCTTAGAAGAAGCAGTTTCTTTAGATTCAAGGCCAGGCTGAATGAGACTTCAAGCAACCAGATCGAGTGCAAGGTATCCCTGCCCAGGGCAGGGGAGTTGGAACCAGATTGTCTTTAAGGTTCCGTCCAACACAAACCATTCTATGATTCTACGATTTTATATAAAGGGATAATCCCAGGATTCTTAATTTTTAAGTAGCTTCAGTTTTCCCAGCTCTGTATTTGTAAGTGACAAACTTACCCAAAAAGCCTATTAACAGATGGGAAACTCTGGACTAAACATTTAGAGTCAGTTTCTTACTGTTTGAAGAGAAACAGAGTACGCATTCTGCTATCATGTACTCTGATGTACTCAGAGCTCTTACAGAAGCAGCTACTTGCCTGGTAGAAGCAGGAGGGTGGGGCAATTACACCTTATGAGAATTTACAATTCAGAAATTCCTGGCTCTGGATCTCATTTTTCTAGCTGGACAACTAGATTTGCTGATGGAATTTAAGAATTTCGAAAATTATTTTTACTTTATGCATAGAAAATTCAACTTTGAAGTACTTTAAGCGTAAAAAAAGCCACGCAAAAGCATTACAAATACTGAAATCCAATATAAGCGGTAGTTTCACTACAGTCTGGCCAGCCACCAGTACATGGAGTTCCTTTCCATTCTTCTCTTTTGAGGAAACAATCCCATTGTATGCTGGTTTACAATTCCATCACTCAGATCCCAGAAAAATAATAACAGGCATCCGAAATAAACATGCTGATTAATACAAGGTTTGCATGAAACATTGGACTGAGGAACAGATTTCAGATTTCCTGATGAGATGGTGCTGCAGATTTAATTTTTATCATTGATTTCCTGGCAATATCAATTTATTTTTTTTTTCACTAATTTCTATGAAATAACACTCTACCAGCAAGCAACTTAACTTGGGCCCTTACTGGGACTAAAAGTGAATGACCATAAAAAAATTATGCAGCTTTTACTTACAGCTAAAAGTTTGTCTCCAATCTGAAGTTTGCCATCTTTATGTGCTGCCCCGCCTTCAATGATTTTGGTTACATAGATGCTGTTGTCTCCAGGTATATGCTGATTTCCTACACCACCAGCAATACTGAAACCAAGACCTGCTTGAAAACAAAGTCATTACTCAAGAAACCTTTCAGCATTCATTAGATTCAAACTATTATATAAATAATAATCCTAAGTGTATGACACACATACATGTATATAAAAATATCAGGCTCTAGCTGAGGCAATACTGGATGCCTTTCCAACTCCATAGTTTTCCAGAAAGTTCTGGAAAAGATGTAATATTTACAGAAGTTCTGTAAATCAAAAGCTAAATAATTTACTTCATGCCTTGCGGAAGATGCACAGAGCAGAGCTACAGCATCACTACTGATATTTAAAGAACCATTGTCCAACATTTACCCATACAGAAACAAAATGCTTTCCATAAATGCTTTTTAATCTTTCAATGTTACTTTCTAGGTAATTCAATGAAATATTTTACTCCCATTTGTAGTATACTTTAAAAAA